TTAATCAATTATCCACCAATTAGGTTATTAGTTACTCATTACAGAGATGGGAGGTTCCTAATAAATTAGAACTGAGCAATTTCAACAAATGGCAATAGGTGTTAAGAATAACATATATGATGTGTGCAATCTTATTGATAATCGTGTGCATGAAAGCATTACTTTACATATGAATTCGAAATAGAATTATGATCAGATCGTGTTTAGAATACATCTAACTTAACTCAAAGAGAAGTAGTTAAATATAATAGAATTATCTATTGTCAAGAACATATAAAGATTACCAACTACATAGGTTAAGAATCATAAATCCAACACATTCATTCATCCACTCATATAAACCAAAGCATTTACATGATTTGTAGAATAAAATAATATCTTTTGTGTTACAAATATCCGAATTTGATAACAATTTAATACAATTCAATTTAAAACTTATTCCCTGCTAAACGATATTATTCTTATCAACGATCTCGTACACTTGTAAATTTCACAAAGATAATGTATTTGTACTTCTGGATGATCAAATTATAATGTCCATATTCGGAAAACATTCTAATTTTCTCATGATAAAAGTCAAATATTAGTTACAAGCACTAATTTTTCCCAGCAACTTAGGAATCCAAACAAGCATGATGTATAACGGTGAATTATTACTTAGGCCTTGTTTGATTAGACCTTTTTTTCCATGGAATTGGAAATTAAATTCCAACTTTTTCAAAAAATACATGTTTGATTGACAAACTTTTCTAGGTTAATCATTTTCAACCTTCACAGCCACGCGCCTGACTTTCCTCAAAATTGGAAAAAACAAATCTCACCTTTTTGGTGAAAATTCGAAGGCCAAACGAACACAAAATTTAAAAATTTTTCGAGTGAAAAATTATACCAATCAAACACACTTAATTAACAATTTACTGCAAATCAATTTTTAGGCAATTACTTTATCTAAGGGTGTGTTTGATAACACATCTTTTCCATGAAACTATGAATTTGTTTTCCATTTTCTACCATTTTGGTTGTTTAATGGACACAATTTTCTTGACAAAACATTTTCTTACATGTGCCCACACGTGCACAATTGGCTGGTTTTTGTGAAAACCTTTTCCTACCAAAATGTTGGGAAAAGGTTTTCCAGTTGCTTTTCATTTTTTTTTATTTTTTTATTTTTGGCAATAGAAACAAATTTGATAATCAATTGTAAAAAGAATTTTCATTTTAATGGACAATTTTCATATAAAACGAAGCCAAACGAACACTACACTTCGATGAAAAAATAATTTTTGAGCAAAAATTTTTTTTTCTTTTTTACTTTTTTGTAATGGTAACAAATTTCATAACCAATTGTAAAAAAAAAAAAAAAATCACTTTAATAGATAATTTACATGTAAAAAAAAGCCAAACGTGAACAAAAAAATCAAAAATTTCAATTTTTTTCTGGGTGCAAAATTATATCAAACACACTTAATTAACAATTCCCTGGAAAATAATATCTGGGCAATTACTTTCCCTGAAATTCATTTTCTTTTCACCCATTTTCCACCCTTGCAATCAAACGCACCCTAAAATTCATTTTCTTTTCACCTATTTTCCACTCTTATGATCAAACCCCTTAGTTGTTTTATAATAAAATATTATAGAATTCGGAGAAATTACTTAGCTTTTGTTTGATATAAATTAAAATTTAATTTTTTTATCAAAATAAAAACCTACAATTAATTTTAACAGCTTATTTTATAAAATCCACAACTTTTCAACCATATATTTCATCAACTTTTATCAAAATCAATTAAAACTTATTTTAATTTCCACCAAACAGACGCTACTTCTCAAATGTCAATGACATTTGTAGATATGAATTATTTCATCAACCAAAATCTATAAAGTCGGCACAAATTTTGGTTTCCTAAATTCACAATAAAATATTTCGTGGTGTGCTCTCTTTTTGTGCACAATCTTATAATTTACAATCTTATCTCACCACATTAAAAAATGCCGACTTTCAGAAGTTATTGAGATATTAGGGTAAGGTACTTTATATTTTCACCAAAGGTTTTGTTAACCGCACAACAATCTAATTACAATAAAAATCCTCAAATCTGCTCATTTTTGCGTCTTACTAATTAGCACATTTCCCAGAAAGGCCAGATTTTAAAAGGACCCCATAACTGTGCACATTCATGTTACTTTAACCATCGAACATGTCAAACCATGGGCACAACAACAAGTATAAAAATCAGTAAGGTAATTAAATATAGCCAATTGGAAAAGGAAAATATCTTTAGACATCACTCTCGTACTTCAACCTCTTAACCTTGTATACACGAAACTGGCTAGGATGACCTTTAAAAAAGGGGAAAAAAATAAATAAATAAAATTAAAAACAAAACGTCAAGAAGCATAGGTCACACAGGACAAAATAACCTATAAAAATCATTAACAGAATTACAAAAGCTTGTTCCATNCACCAAATGGGGGCTTAATATATTTGTTGTAGACTGAGAATGAATTTCAATGTTTTAAGTAGCTGTGGATGAAATTTGATGATTTTAGTATTACGAGGATGAAAATAGAATTTTAAGTATTTGGAGAATAAAATTATAATTAGGCCCCGTTTGATATGCTAAAATTTCCATGGAATTCGTTTTCCACAAATGCCACACAGGTGCACACTTTCCATGAAATGGTTGAATTGTTTTTCCCACCTTTTTGGTGGGAAAATGGAATTCCACATTTTTTTTTGCAATGGAAACAAATTTCATAACCAATTGTAAAAAAAAAAAAAAATCACTTTAATAGATAATTTACATGTAAAAGAAAGCCAAACGTGAACAAAAAAAAATCAAAAATTTCAATTTTTTTCTGGGTGCAAAATTATACCACACACACTTAATTAACAATTCCCTGGAAAATAATTTTTGGACAATTACTTTCCCTAAAATTCATTTTCTTTCCACCAATTTTCCACCCTTGCAATCAAACGCACCCTAAAATTCATTTTCTTTTCACCTATTTTCCACTCTTATAATCAAACCCCTTAATTGTTTTATAATAAAATATTATAGAATTCTGAGAAATTACTTAGCTTTTGTTTGATATAAATTAAAATTTAATTTTTTTTATCAAAATAAAAACCTACAATTAATTTTAACAACTTATTTTATAAAATTCACAACTTTTCAACCATATATTTCATCAACTTTTATCAAAATCAATTAAAACTTATTTTAATTTCCACCAAACAGGCGCTAATTCTCAAATGCCAATGACATTTGTAGATATGAATTATTTTATCAACCAAAATCTATAAAGTCGGCCCAAATTTTGGTTTCCTAAATTCACAATAAAATATTTCGTGGTGTGCTCTCTTTTTGTGCACAATCTTATAATTTACAATCTCATCTCACCACATTAAAAAATGCCGACTTTCAGAAGTTATTGAGATATTAGGGTAAGGTACTTTATATTTTCACCAAAGGTTTTGTTAACCGCACAACAATCTAATTACAATAAAAATCCTCAAATCTGCTCATTTTTGCGTCTTATTAATTAGCACATTTCCCAGAAAGGCCAGATTTTAAAAGGACCCCATAACTGTGCACATTCATGTTACTTTAACCATCGAACATGTCAAACCATGGGCACAACAACAAGTATAAAAATCAGTAAGGTAATTAAATATAGCCAATTGGAAAAGGAAAATATCTTTAGACATCACTCTCGTACTTCAACCTCTTAACCTTGTATACACGAAACTGGCTAGGATGACCTTTAAAAAAGGGGAAAAAAATAAATAAATAAAATTAAAAACAAAACGTCAAGAAGCATAGGTCACACAGGACAAAATAACCTATAAAAATCATTAACAGAATTACAAAAGCTTGTTCCATTACTTGAAATTGAAGAGTACAATCCAAATTGCAGAGCTGAAAATCACTTGATTTTTATCCATATTTAGATTCCCAATGCACTGCTCCACGAACTTTTAAATCTACTACCAAATACTCTTAACAGCAAAATCCATTTTCCGGCCTCCGAATAATGGTAAAACTACTTCAACCAGAGAGACCAAATAACGAGAGGAGCAAGCAGTACCTTTCTCTTTTAAAAAGACCCACCAATTTTAGGAATAAAAAACAGAAAACGTCACGTTGAAATGCTATAGTTCTGTTGAAAACGTCCTTGCTGCCTTAGTAATAATTTAATAATCTATTTGCCAAAAAACAAGTGGTTGACAAAATATGAAATCCACCTCGAGCACAACCCAAAAGGAAAGAGATTGCAATCATTGACTGTTCAAGCCACAAATATATTCAAAAGGTAAACGACAAGTTATCGACTTGCCAGCACCCGCAAGACATAAATTTAGCACAACCTAAGCCTCTTTCACCCGATTTTAGTTTGCAACAAGGCTCTCCTTTCTTCAAGATTTTAGTTGCAAAATGTAAACTGTGAAAGTAGTCTCGTCCTTGAGTTTTAATCCAGCAACTTGTCAACCAGCTCATAGCTATTCATCGTGTCATGTTAACAAAACCTAGGACCTAAAAATGTGAGAGGTGAAGCTTAGGTTTATGATTGAACAAATTATACTCCAAATCTGCATTTTTATGCGGCAAGCTTTCATCCCGTAAAGCAAGGGGAACAAACATGAAAGCAAAGGGAACAAACATGAAAGCAAAATCACAAATTGCTGACAATTGGAACAAGCAATGCACTACTCTCAATAAAAGTAACACTCACCTGATAATTCAACCTACCTTTAAGCAGCAGTTTGGAGAATATCCACTTGCCTCTATAAAGACATTCACACAGCTCATATCAATCCATAGCCATAAAAATAACTCCCCCACCAAGTACACAAGGATAAACAATGGAGAAAAGGGGGTGCTCAAAGTTAGCGAACAACCTACCTCTGTCTCCAGTTAGAGAATAAATCCATGAATGCAATAAAATAAAAATCTCCCCCAGAATATTAGTACATAAAATGCTCTGCTTCAAGTTTAGTATGGACGTGAACGGTTTCCGCCATGATAGTTCCTGTTTGGACCTGAACCACCACCGTCTCTACGTTTGTCACCTCCATAGCCACCTCTACCACCTCCCCTGTAAAACAAGCAAGATCAATACTAGAAAGTGTACAAATTAAAAACCATGATGGGTAGTATACTGCTGTTCTCGAAAACCAAGTTCCAAATATAACGTGGACACAAGAAAATGTGCTTATTTAGGGCAAATAATAATAATAATAATAATAATAATATATAAATATACATATATATATATATGGGCTAAAACTAGTAGAGTCCACTAAAAGTTTAAAACAAAAAGAAAATTAAGATCTTGAAAAACATAATGAAACCTATGCAAAACACACAAGTGAAGATGCATTAGTTAAAGTAACAGGAAAGTTAGAACTAAATAACTACAAATCCTAAGCCAAATACAACTAATGCAAACTTAACTGCCTGAAGTTTAGACAGACAGACTCAACAAGGGGAATTTGTCCTAGATAATAGTTAACTGAACCCATTAATTACCTTCAGTGTCTCATCCTCACCCACCGCTTTCAGTAAGACAAAAGAAATAATGTGAAGTATTTGCCTTTTTGTACCAGTTTGTCCTAGGATGGGAGATATTAGTTTCACCATGCTACTTGCTGCCAAAAGGTACTGGATGACAAGGCCACATGAAACGTTATTTTGCTGACTAACTTCCTCACAGAATTTCCTGGTCCAATATTATCAACTCTAGAACTTTACACTGAGTAGCATCCTAGTTCCTTATCCTAAGCTCTCTCACCAGAAAATAGAAGGGCCATGAGGCGAAGGGATAATTAAATTAACCACGTCCTTACTATACACATCTATTATCAAATCAAAATCAAAATCAAACCAATCATATATCTAGAGAGACCCTACTTTCTATCAACACATACTGCGCACATGCGTAATCAAACATCCGCAACACCATTACTCCACAAATATATCACATTGTACCCCATACATGTGAAAAACTACATTTGATGTGCATAGATCAAGATGTTTTAAATATTTATCCGAAATCTAAATCATTCCAATCTAAAGTCTAAACATATCCCCAATTGCATCAAATCAGAGTTGTCTGTAACATGAACGTAATACATGATTAATTAAGCTCAAACTTAAGACTAAACATAAAAATATCCCTAATTGCATCAAATCATTAGTTGGTTGTAGCATGAATGTAATACATGATTAATTAAGCTCGAAATTCACATATAAGTAATTTATCAATAAACAAGATGCAAAGTAAATATTAACGTTAGTCGAAACTAAGCTTTGATACAACCAATAGGCTTACTTAATAAAAATAAATAATTTAATTGTTTCAAAAAAATCTTCGACCCTACTCTCAAAATAATTAACTTTTTACTTACAAAAATTAAGCCCCTATTTGGCCCCCATTAAAATTATAATTCATTTTTCTCTCTTCTTATCAACCACACATTCTCTAGTAAAATAATATTATGTGTAATCCCAAAACTTTTCTCCATTTTTAAACACACATTCTTAAAAAGGAAAAAAAAATACTATTCCAATTATTAAAATTTCAAATAATGGGGGCCAAACAGGAGCTAAGGGACTCAGCTAGAATAATTTAAAGTAAAAGTAAGTTCATCTATATCCCTAAGCTCAAACTTCTTTGTTTTTATCAACAAAAAGGATGTAAATGAAAATTTACTAATGTTAAAGATAAAAAATACTTACTATTTGAAAGAACTTCTACCTACCGTCAAAATAAGCAACTTTTTTAGTTATAAAATAAAATAAGTAGGCTAGAATTATATAAGAAAAAGTAAGTTCAACTTACTTTTAAGCATAGACAACAATGCTTATAGTTCATCGTTAACATGAACCACTAATATGAACATGAGATAATCTAACCAGATAACTACAGTCATTAATACAGGCCCCAATAAGAACACAATGCCCAAAAGCCCAAACAAATCTCTACACTCAGGTGTTCAACAATTGAGTGGAGGATGTCTATCAATTTGTTTGGATAAGATAGAAAAGCATTTTAGAATAGCGGATTGACCAAAATATGCAGAATAGAAACAGAAATCAACCATTTGTTGAAGTAAGAAAGGGATAATCAAAGTAATAGCAGGCAAAACTAACAAAGAAATTATAAACTACACTACAAGTTCAATGGGTTCAGTGGTATCCATAATTATAACAGCAGAAGTGCTAGTAGCACAATTAAAAAAAAAAGTTGCAGAAGTTAAAAAGTTGTAGCCTTGGCTCCCAGAAAATTTTGCTCATTAAAGACAATATATAAATTGACAAAATTCAGAACTGAAGAAAGATGGTTTACCCAGAACCATATGCAGGAGGACCCTTTGGAGCGGATTTCTCAGCCATTGTGACACTAATTTTGTGACCTCTAAGTTCATGCACTGTTAAGTCAGACCATTGTCAGCGATATGGCAAACACAAAAGAAATTTTAACTCCAAGATAAGACTCAATCAAGTTCTTACTGTTGAAAAAACCACCAGCTGAATGTGCAGCAGATGGATCTTCATATGATAAAACTGCATCTCCTTTGCTGTTTCCATGTTCATCTGTGTATATTTTTATACTCCAGGGCCACTGGTCCTTGTAGCCTCGCTTTTGCTTGATTCTTGCTACCTAGTCATTAGAAAATTATGAAAGAAAAAATTAGATGTAAATATAACTGCTTAAAGAAATACTAATATTTATATAATTTATTTGATTTGTCAATAACAGAAATGAAGTCCACATAGTAAACATAGTTAGAAGGCACTCAAGGTACGAAGTATTATTTCAAAATGCCCCCAAGTACAATCAAGAACAGTAACATGGAATTTATGCAGCACAGATATTAAAACTAGGGAACAGATGGCCCTTTGAACAGAAGTGAACAGCAGGAAAATTAGTCATGCTAAATTAATTGTGTATCCCCTTATACACAGCAAATAATTAATACGACAAAGAAATTTGCACATTACTTGTCCAATACTTCCAAAAAGATCTCTAAGCTCGTCTGTGGTCACATCTGGAGGTAAATTCGAGATATAGATTCTTGCGTTGTCACAAGTGTCACCACAATTTTCATCACACTGCTTGACTGCAATTGGAGCCTCTGTTGGAGCACCACCATAACCTCCTGATGAGTTTCGGAAATCTCCCCCATATCCACCAGGCGGGCCACCTCGTCCACCACCACGGCTATCATTACGTGCATCACCACCATATCCAGCAGGAGTAGCATATGATGGAGGATAAGAAGCAGGGCCACCAGTATAGCTTGCAGGTGGAGGAACTGCATCAGGAGCATAATTAGGGCTCCCGCCATATGCATGAGGAGGTGGGGGGTAGTTGTTACCCGCTCCATTGTGAGATGCAGGAGCAACTGGAGCATCCTTCCCATAACCGCCATCTCTTCCTTGACTACCACCATAAGAACCACCTCTACTATTTCTTCCATCATAATCATTACCACCTCTGCCACTTCCACCATCATAATAGTTACCACCTCTTTCACCTCGAGTATTTCCACCACCACCTCTACTCCCTCGATCATCAGATCCAGCAGGAGACGGTGCACCACATTTGTTACACTCGGCTCTTCGAGCAAAGTTCAGATTCCCACACCTACATCCAGGGAGTTAAAATCAACTACAGTTCAAAAGATAAACAGAACTGAAATATCAAATAAACTTTATTCTCTTAGTAGAAAGCCTTATAACACAAATATACAAGAAATGTATGCCACCAGAAAAATAAGCACATTCTGTAACTGAAGGAAAGGCGAAAAACAAAAGAATGATTCGCATGTGATAACATCCACTGAAACCAATATATTCCAGGTGATGGGAAATGGGAGATGCAGATTTAAGGTAGAGGATCCAGAGAACTTGGAAAGAGTTGTATAGATTGAAAGTGTGGTAATACTTCTAGTTCCTTGATGAAGTTTCTTTGTGAATTAAATAAATTATTAACTACTGTTTGGCCCCCATTTTGGGGTGTCGAAAATTTTTGGAATAATGATTTGACACCCATTTAGATTTGTGTGTTATATTATTTTATTTAATGAATGTTTTGTTGAAATGAAGAGAGAAGAAATTAATGTAATGTAATGAAAAAAAATGGGGGCTAAATCCCCTTTGATCCCATCACATGGGACACCACTAAGTTACATCCATACAAACCAGAAAATATACAAAATTTGTGTTTTCCTGAATAAGTTCAAATTTAAACATAGGAAACACAAGTAAAAGATATATAAACTCCCTTGTAGACTCAAACTGGGTACTGTATTTCAGCTTCTCTCATGTTTAATTCCAAGGAAAACGCTAGAGAATAAATCATACGAACATGATAAACGGACAGTTTGACTATTGATAATTTTTTCCTTAATACTTGAGGCTCGTAGTTATATTTGTGTTATGTGGGAAGAACGTTACCCTGGATTAGGGCATCGCCAATCGCCTTCCCTGCCACTTCCACCGCCACGACCACCACCTCTGCCTCCGCCGCCGCGTCCCCCTCGATCTCCTTGGTATCCACCACCACCTCCTAAAATCATAGGAACAGATCTCGGATTAAAAGCAATTAATCACGAAAATACAATTATACAAGGCCAAGTCCAAAAATTAAAATCCATATATCAAAATAAATAACCAAAGTACATAATAAAAACGAAAAAGAAGACTATCAACTACTTCTATTACCTCCGTATCCCCCACCTCCACCTCCTCCTCTTCCGCCGCCCCTATTACCACCATAGCCTCCTCCACCTCCACCTCCATAATTACCATATCCGCCGCCGCCGCTACTATTTCCTCCGCCATATCCTCCGTAGCCTCCCCCACCCATGGGCGGCGGAGCAGATCCATCTCCTTCGTAACCGTACGCACCCGACATGTTTTAGATTACTCCTGGAGAGTTAATTAATATCTTCTCTTGAGAAATTATAGATCAAAATTTTTGCAGAGAGAACGAAAGTAAAAGGAGACGAGAAAATTAGGGTTTCAGCTATGTTTTATGTTATATATACCAAGTCCACTCGAGGAGAAGATATTCTTTGCGGATTAGTATGTCGGGAGATTGTTCTGGTACACTCGGGTGTACAAAATGCGATTAATGTCAGCCAATCAAACCCGTGCATCACATTTTATAGCATGACTTAGTGGCAATTTTTATCCGCGTAAACTTTTACAAGGCGTCAACACGTTAACGGTTGATAAGGCATGTTTTTGGTGCCAAAGAAAAAGAAAAATGGATATGTTCTGGTTTCTTGGGCATGCTCTCCTAATGTTTACCTTCATACGTTTTAGCAAGGTTGTGGATGGATATTGAACATATTTGCATAGGACACGGCATATTATCCGCAAAATCAACTAATTGGTTCGATTTGAATTGACTTTCGGGCCAATTTTGCAAGATATCATATCAGTTAAAAAAAAAAAAAATTGATTTTCAGAGATAAAATATTATTAAAATCGACAAGACAAACAAACTCAAGTTGATTTCTTACTATTGTCAGGTTGGGATTTCACCCAACATACCTATGCACAACCCTAGATGTGTGGTTGACTAGTGCATTTCGTAAGGGACTATGAGGAGATTGTGTAGATATGGAAGAGATGTGTCTATCATGTAAGGACAAAAGTCATGCAGTGTTAGATTTACTTGATAGCAGTGGTGAAAATTGCCCTATGGCATATGTGAAATTTCTTGATGACGTGTGGGATTATATGATGGCATGGAAAAAGTGTTCGGTGGCATTTATGGAAATTCGCTACAAAATCGCCAACATTACCTGATGGCAGAAGATGAAATGCTGTGTTGGTTTCGTTGGATTTTCTACAAAATAATTTGCATTTTTAGGTTGGAACCTTGGTGTCATCGCATGTAGAATTCAACTTAAAGTTTTGAATAACAAGATGGGAAGGTAAAATATAATGTAGGTTTGATCAAGGAGCAAAGCTTTGATTTTCTACAAAATAATTTGCATTTTTAGGTTGAAACCTTGTTGTCATCGAATGTAGAATTCAACTTAAGTTTTGAATAACAAGATGGGAAGGTAAAATACAATGACAACGTGACGACCAAATTTCAAGCGTTACATATGTACATGGTTTTTACTAAGCCCGCCCCGCCCGGCAATTCTCTACTTCGTTACCCGTTTAAGGTTGAGCGAGGCGGGACCCTTGCTCCGTTTACTACCCATTTAATTTTTATTTTTTTTAAGGTTTTGATAATTCATTTTATTGCCCCAATTCATTAGAGTGGAACAATAATATATTTTTTAATCTTTATTTATTTTGAAAAGTTAAATTATTCAAATATATTTGATAAACTAAGGCTTTTACTGTTTGTCATATTTTTTAGATAATCTTAGTTGCCATTTTATAGTAAAACTAATGAATTTTTGTGAAAATCCATTTAAAGTATTGAATTTTTAAAAAAATTAAAAGCGGCGGGGCATCTGTTACCCGTACCCACCTCGAACCCACCCCATCCCTGATCCGAATACCCAATTAAGCGTTTAATCCTCGTCCCGTTCGGGCGGGGCTCGCGAGTATTGGATATGTCGGGTTTTTTTTTTTTTTGCCATTTCTAAACATAATTGAGAAATCAAAACTCGATATAACATGCAAAGTTGGGGTTGTGATGTTCTATTAAAACTCTAAATAATAACTTTTAAAAGATTTTTATAAGTACATTGTAAGCTTGACAACAATATCCTGCTAAAAAATGTCAAATTACATCATATATGACTTTATAGCATGTCACTTTCTAATATAAATTAATAGTAGCAACTAAGGCCTTATTTGATGGCCATTATTTGGCAAAAATAAACTTTTGAATAGTGAATATTTGAAAAATGTGTGGTTAAATAGTAGGAAAAAGTTTCGAGTTAACGTGCAAAATATTTTATTGTATGAATATATAGAAAAAATGATTTTTGGATATTGGTTGTCAAACACGGGCTAAATATTAGTATAATGGTCGTTATAAGCACTTCGTGAGTTTAGACGGATTTATCTATATCTATAATATATTAAATATCACATCAAGTGAGAATCATTTTTTAGACGATTTTAACCCTACTATAATTCAATTATTTTAATATTTTATTTTTCATTTTTCAATATATAATAAATACTACAAAATCCTTATCACGTATGAATTTCGTGTTATTAATTCTCAATTAATTAATATTCACGTTCAACTTTGACTTATTTAAAGAAAAGTCGAATTATAAAGCACGTGACAATTTAACCAAAAATTAATATCACTTTTTAGATATCGAACCTTAATTCACATCCAATGTACATAAATATAGTAAAAATTTAAAGTTCTTAAAAGAACATTATAAGCTAAGCAAATGGTGCTCCATTAAAAAAAATGAAATTACATCGTGTGACCTTTTATTTAAAAAGTGACTGATAGTATCACCAAAAAGTTATAAACTAAATAATTTAAACATAAGCACTAAATGTTTCTTATAAGCAGTGCCGCGGACATTATACACCGAGCACTTCAAATATGTGCAATCGGGCTCAGTTTAACAATAAATCGAATCAAACACCAACTCAATTGATCGGCATCAACCACAACAATTTCACTACGGTAGACCAGTTTATTTTTACCCACAAAGGATAGATTATGGTGATGCAATTGTTCACAAAGAACAAGAAGAAAGTAGCGATAGTCAAAACTCAAGCATAAAGAAGAGGAATGATCATAAAAACCAATTGCCCTGTCATTCAAATTGCACACACACGATTCACTCACACAGGGGCTAACACATATACATAGTTTTAGGGTGAAACTAAGGGATGGGCCAAAGCACAATTGGGCCAAGAAATAATACATAAGATGGGCCAAAAAATCAAACAAATTGGGCTAATAGGCGGTGGGCCAACAAAGAGAGGCAATGTGGGCAAACAAATAAAAGGATCGTCCACTAATGAAGGCGCCACGAGTAACTTCAATTAATAGTTTCTTCCAATGATTCAATTTATTTTCTAGTCGAGTCAATCAATTGCGCTGTTGATATGTATTTCAGTTTTCGACCGAAGCCTACTGAAATTATTCCAAATGTTTTAACATCATTGGTTGGATTTATTGGGTATCAAAACCCAACAAATCTCAACACCACTCAATGAATCTGCAAGCAAACAACAAGAAGTTTATACTTGCTTAATCAAAATAACCAAATAAAATTGGAAATAACATACTTATTCTATGTGCTCACTAAGGATTAAGGGCAAGAACCCTAGTACAATCAAATATTCTCAGTAATCAATGAAGAGCACATACTAACATATAATTTTAAAACATGCGATGAGTACACACCATAGGATAATATACAAATCTTTTCAACATGTTCAACGTATGGAGAATATCAAATTAACACCAAATTAATCAAATAAATGGCCAACATATACAATCAATGCATAAATTATCCCAAGAAAAGATCCTACTACAATTATCCTACCCCACTCTATGTAGCTCGTATCTTGAGAACACACATGCTCATTGGAATGGTCATTTCTTATGTCTAACTAGTAAACCTCTAAAAATCGTAAGTCCATGGATGTTTCTCTATTATTGCTTCACCTCTCTTAATTTAGGTAGATAATAGGTTTCCACCTAATCAAACTGTCATTCTCTTACTCCACCTGATTAAGATTCTGACATATAGAAGAGTCCAAATATTTAATCACCCCACCTCTCGTGATCCAAATGTCATTTCTTCACACCCTCGTACATATCACCAATGCATCATTTGAATTGATACACTTACTGATAATGCATCTACTAAAGTGAGAACGCATCTAGTGTTAATCCTCACAACACTAATCTCAACCACTATACATGCAACACATTTATACAGTATCATGATCATTCTTAAATTCATGCAAATGCACACATAATGAAATGTAACATAAAATAATGTACCAGAATAAATTAATCATTCATACAAATGAGATTTCACACAAATGCAAATGCAGTAATCTAGTTTATTATCAACACGCCTCACTCGGGACTTAACTAGACCAAGTGACAACATTCGTCTAACCTCTCACCTTATCTTTCTGCTTATTTTTGATAACAGTCCCTTATAAAATGTTAAGACATACTACAACAATGCTTACCATTTATTACGATTTTAAACGTATCCCAACTTCTACCCTTCTATTTACCATCATCATCACTCAAGTGTCTTGAATTTTCTCATAACATTTTGCTTAAACTGTGTTTTATCCCTTTACAAATCTTCTTATCATATTTTTCAACTTTAATCACCGTTTCCTTACTCCTAAGAGGATATACGACAATCTGAGGCGTTATATTGTCCTTACCATACTTAATTGTATTCTTTACCTCTTTATAAGTATCACGCATGGAATCAATCAAAATTATGGCATTATATATTTCAGACACCAATTTTTCACAATTAATAATATCTTGTACAAGTTTGTTAAATACATCTAAATTGTTATCAAAATACTTTGAATAATCCATTTTAAAACTGAAAAACCTCTCGAGCAAGTACACTTTGTTAGGACTAGACTTGAATAAATACAAATCCTCCAATTTTTTTCAAAATTCTTTTGCGGCTTTAAGTTTATAAACTTTTCTCAAAATGTTAGTATTAAATAATTGAAATGTAAGCAAGCTTATCAAATTCTTCTTTTTGTTCTGGTGACAAATCAGTAGAAAAATTGCTATCTATAGCTTTTGAAAGTATTTTTTGAACAAAAATCTCTCTTATTTTTTATTGCCAAATAGAGAAATCTCTTTTTTCTTTAAAAAATTTCAAATCATTACATGTAGTTATTTTTAACACAGATCAACCAAAATGTACAAATACATAATTAGATCACACAAAATGTACCGTTCTAGATTTTTAGAGTTTCGTGATATTCGCGATCTCAAACAATAAAAAAGGTCAAACGGGTAAAGTCGAGGTACTCTAATGAAATAATTACTGTAACAAAGAGGCAAGAGAACAAAACCAAATTTTCACTCAATACAAGTCTCACACAGTGTCTTAATTGACAATTATATCAAAGAATCAATAAATAACTTTCAGCTGTCAAATTTAACAGACTTTAAATATTTCAAATAGGGCAAATAATTTGTAAATTCTATTAACAGGCAATGGTTACCTTACATGGTAACCCCAACCCTGATGGTCAAACCACATGATGGCATGCTCGTATGAGAATTTAAAAATGATAAGCTAATTTATCGAGTGGACCAATTTGTTGGTTCGTAAATAAAGAAAGATACGAATTTTACAACTTTAGGGTTACCACTTTTCGCCTTAAAGCTTTAACAACTACACCATCCACGATCGACCAAAACTTGAAACTGAATGTCCAAGGGTAAACAATCTTCGACCATTAACATTTTATCGCATTCACTTTTTCACGTCGTTATTCTGTCCAAGTTAATTTCCGGTGATATTATTACTTGCCTACTTCCAACACATTTGAGGAAGAATTTGCTTAATACCGTAATTAATAAGATTTTTAATTATGTCTAATAGTATTTACATTGTACATCCCTTTTTATAATGATATGTCAAAAAGTACCATTTTTTAGTTTATTTGTGTAATTTGCCCTTTTTTGAATTCAACTGGGTAGCCACTTCATCCTGTTGCCGCATATGCTTTCGAAATCTCATTCTTTTCTTGGTTTCGAGCTTATTATAATAAGAGTTATGTTGCACGTATCGGACCACGCCGACCCTGTACATACTCTATTCCCCTGTGATTGAGGGGGGTGGGGTGGCACGTAGCAGCATTATTGTTATAATAAAGACCAACATACCACAAGCTCTGTTGATACTTTTTGGCCCATGTGGCCAAAATTGGTCTATTTTTTTGTTCTCGTTTGATTTTACTAAAAATCAGTTATTTAGTAAATTAAATAAAAGTAGATAAAATGTATAGTTAAAAAATTGATAAAAATTGCAAGTGTTATGCCATACATGATTAAAATTCATTGTTCACTTTAACTTAAATTTTATCAATTTAACCATGTGTTTTATAATATTTAGACTTTTGAAATTTAAATTGCACATATGACATCGAACTATTGTTTTCATCCAATTTTGGTCCTTCAATCTTCAATCTCAATAATATTGGTCCCCAAACGTTATAAAGAGTTTAATTTGGTCCAAAAGTTGATGAAATCTTCCAATTAACTTCTAATTCCGTATTATGTCCTATATGTCCTAATACATTTCGGTACTTTTGCATTTCCATCCTTTTTGTGCAATTAAGCTCCAAATAACTTCTTTTTGCTTAATTAATCTTCAAATTAAGGATTTAACCTATAAAAAAAACAAATATAACACGAAGTGAGTATAAACTCGCTCGATTAATCTAAATTAAATATCATTTTAGGACCGAAAAAGAATGTAAAACACAGTTATCAATATAGATTTACATTCAATAATGTCTTAAATATTGATGATGTAACACTGTAATTTTACACGTAAATCGAAAAAAAATTCTTATTTTTAACCACACTTTTTTTTCAAAAAATATTATTTCAAAATACAGTCATGTTTATCGCGAGACAAACACAGTAGCCGATTCTTTAGCAAGGTCGGGTGCGAATGGTTGTTCTCAATTTGTTACTTATATCAAGAATTTGCCTAAAGCTACTATTGGTTGTATTGTCTTAGACGTTAGCGGAATTCCTACTTTTCGCTTTCATTAATTGTTTCCACGATTTTCCTCCACCATAAGTGAGTGTTCCTAATAAATTTAGTTTCTTTAAAAAAAAGGGCTTAATGTCTTGATGGGACTACTTGGCATGTAGCAATTTTGAAGTAGTAGAATTTATGTTGAGGAATTTATAGGTCATGTAAATCCTTTGAAATTGCTAAGGAACTTAGTGTTGAAACTCTTAATTAAGAAATATATTGGATGCCAAGTCAACTGATCAATGCTCTTCAACGAATTTCGAGGAGAACCAACTAGTTTTAGGTTCGAGTGAGATTTCAAACCTAATCACAACTCGTTCGCTGATTCTTCAACATTTGTTGCTTTCGACCTCCAGTTAGTTACAATATTAATAGAACTATAGAACCATCAAATGTACACATTGTAATACACGAATGCAATACTTAATTAAATACATGGAGTTAATTTCGTGCTTTTTGACATCCAATATTTGAGCACCAGGCGCTACATCAAAAAGACTGATTTTATCAAATATTACTCAATTTATATGCAATTTTTAATATTTTACCATTCTCTTTTACTTGATGGTTAGATGGGTTTCCACAAAAATGATGGAAAAATCAGACACTAACTTTTGAACTCGACATTTGTGATGTCATTATTCTTACGATTGTGCCACATGCACATCACATCTTACAAATTTTGTTTATCAAATGTGACGAAAAATGATTGAATCAACATTTCATCAATCAAATAAAAAAAATAAAAATTCACCACTTTCTTTTTGCCATTAACCTACATTACATAAGCACAATTCTTTAAGTGGGGAAAAGATTTTTATAGTCTTAATTCAATTTATCGACGCATGTAAAAGATGTTTTTGGTACACTGAGAATTTTCTTTATTTTGAACATCATCACGTACCGACGTACGTACCACGTTTCAACTTTGACAAAGACAAAAGATGAAATTTCCAAAAAATTCCATGGTGGCACAAGATGGTTCAATTAGGATGAAGAGTAGAAAATAGAAATGGGATGCGCTTCAGACACGGTGGCGTACGTTACGAAAAATGCATGGCGGATGTGAGTGGCGGGGCCGCCATGGTTTGAATACATGACAAAATCTTCTTCCAAATGGGGCCACCATGTGAAATCCTGCAACCCCCTCTCTCGTTCTTTTTAAATCATCCAATGTGGTATCGTTTTCGTAATAATAAATAAACACAGTACAGATTCGTGGAGGAGAAAAGACTTACCCTATATCATGACAGAGAGAACAACAACAGAAATATAAATAAATATAAAAACGACCCTTTATATAACCTAATTATTCTTTTCATGCCGAGTGTAGCGTTTTTTGTGTTCTTGATCCATTTAAAACTTTCTCAGGATCTCTCTCCCTCTATGTACCCCTCTCTTTCTCTCTCTAGACTAGTGAAGTAGTAAATAGAGTCGTCTATCATTTTTGAAACAGTCCAATAATATAATGTCACATAATATTATATCAACTTTCCGATCAAACTTTTCCAGCTACTTGCACGATTGAATTATTAACATATTTTTTTATACGTCCCATCAAATTCTCTCTCTCTCTCAAAGACAACACAAATTGCATCCTGAAAACGCTCTTGACCCAGAATCGTAGCCAAATAGACCAATAATTAGGAGGAAATTTAGTTTGGTTTTCGACAGAATCCGCATGAGTAAGAGTCAAATCCAGCTACTGAGACAAAGAGGGACAACAAGAACTGTTCTAGACTGCCCTTCGTTCAGATTCGGAGAGCAACACAAACTACCATGGGCGATAATTGATTTGATTCTACTGATTCGAACCCTAAAAAAGCGATGAATTCAGGTGGAAATGATCCGAATGGAGGGGATGGGGCTCCATCATCAACCAGCGGAGGCACAGAAGAGGCTGGGGGCGACGGCGCAGGAGGGTCAACGGGGGCAACTCCGAGTCGCTATGAGTCGCAGAAGCGTCGAGACTGGAACACTTTCCTACAATACCTAAGAAACCACAAACCGCCTCTGACTCTAGCCGGCTGCAGCGGAGCTCACGTTATTGAGTTCTTGAAATACCTAGACCAGTTCGGGAAAACTAAGGTACATGTAGCAGGCTGCCCGTATTTCGGCCACCCGAGTCCTCCTGCTCCCTGCGCGTGCCCTTTGAAGCAGGCTTGGGGCAGTCTTGATGCCTTAATCGGCCGGCTCCGGGCAGCTTATGAAGAGAACGGTGGTCGGCCAGAGACCAATTCTTTTGGTGCTAAAGCCGTGAGGTTATATCTTAGAGAAGTAAAAGAAAGTCAGACTAAGGCTAGAGGAAAACCCTATCAGAAGAAACGGCGGAAAAGGTCCGCCTCTGCTGCCGTCATCGGTGGTGCATCTACAGTGGCGGTGACAGTTGGTGCTAGTCCTACTGGTGGTACTGATAGTGGTGAAGGTAGTGGTGCAAGTGCAACTCCTGTGCCTGCTACACCTACCACAACATAGAAGCATTGAGTTTTACTTTTACCCTCTTTTTTACTTTTTATTTTTTCCTTTTTTTTCCCTTCTATATTGGAAAACTAATTTTGCTTTTAATTGTGAATATGAATTGAATGAAGAATTAAAATAAAAAAATCCGCAATTGTGAATATGAATTGAGGTTATGCTTTTTTTTTTTTTTTGGTCTAATATTACGTAACAAATATGTAAATTATAGTATTCAATTTACATGTTACACAAGATAACATATATGATTGGTGAGAGTTCGACGACATAGACCATTATATGTTTATTAAAAAATGAATAGAAAAATACAAATAATTCTAAAGGGAGCAACTTGATGTCTAACTTTCGCCTTGCAAATATTGAACGGGAAGAAAATGCAATATTAAACTGATTTCTAATAATTATACCGCAATGAAGAATCGTAGAAAAAAATATCATATACCCTATCAATACAAAGTTGAATGCTATGAAACATAGGGTTGATCGGAATGCTCTCGTGTGTTCATTTTTCAAGAAATAATTTTGCGAAAAGTGATTTTTTTGAAGAATGTAGGTTTAAAAAGTTGAAAAATTAATGAATTCACGTGCAAAATAATTTTATTAGAAATATATATGGTTGAAAGTTATTTTGAGGAAAAAGTAATTTTTCGAACAAGCTGAAAATAAGAATTTATGTTAATTAGCAAACGATGGATGTGAGACACAAGCCAATTATCAACAAATTCTCAATACCCATGTTTTTTGGGGTCAATAACTTCATGTCCAATTCTAGAATGTGGATGGGATGGTACTAATCAATTGGGTTTGAGTTACATTATTTTGAAAAAATGTACTTTTGAATAAGAGATTGATGGAGAATTTGTGGTTGAAAAAGAAGAAAAGATTATTGATGTGATGGAAAATATTACTCCTTCTGTCCCAATTATATAGGCTGTGTTTCCTTTTTCTCTTGTTCTAAATATATATGCATGTTTCCTAATGTAAAATATTTTGTTGTGTTCTTTTGCATTAAACTAAATGAACATAATACTTTACATATGAGTTGACTGACCACTCACATTGCATGTGGTTCCCGACCTAAATTAAATAATGTCAACCTTCCCATGTGTGTGTTGTGTCATCCCATATGTCAAATATTTCATTTGTGTAGCAAAATTCTGTTCTTTTACTAATATATTCTTATTAAATTTTCCCTACTTAATATGCAAACTTCTTGAAAATTCAAATTCTTTATTAATTCCAACAATAATTTAGTTTTACACACTGAAAATTAAATAGGGGTAAATTAGGAAAGATCTTGGCAAAAATTAATTTTCCAATCACATTAAATAATCTTTCTTAATCCGTGTGAAAAACTAAACAAGCCTATATAATTGAGACGGAGAGAGTATTTTATTGAAAAATGTGTAGTTGAAAATGAGTAGAAAAATGATAAAAAAAATTTTAATTTGGCAAATTTGATGAAATATATGCATGAAAAGTAGATAAAAATTAGATTCGATGAAATATGTGATAAAATATAATTGATGACTTTGAAGTAAATCCTTATCAACATTTTAAGGTGCACTCAAGAGGGACTAAGTAAAAGAAACTTAACAAAATTATTTTACTTTTTACATTCTTTCATATGTAATATCACTTACGATAATTCAAGATTTCTACATAATAATAATAATAATAATAATAATAATAATAATAATAATAATA